TTTCCCATAAGGAATATTGTGAAGTAGATTAGTCCATTTCAGACCCCCAAACATACACATACAAACGCATTTACATAAATACACTTACATAATTGGTCGCATTTGGAGGTGATCGTTAAGCGGGGGTCCACTGTACTGTTATTTCTGTTGTATTTGTAGTCCTAAGCAGTAAAACCAACATAATACATCATGACAGTGAGCAACAATTACATGGGTGCTTACATTTTCGTAGGATCTGGAGGTCTAAAAAAAAAGTTGTTTATTTTTTTGGGGGCCCACAGGATCGTAACTCTATTTTTCCCATAAGTTCTTCAGTTTATCTAACACGGATTTACCTAACATAACTACTGTGTAATATAACTGTCTACTGTATTATAATCATTATTATACTTATAGCTAAATGCTAAACCCACGAAGGTCAATATTATAATAATAATTATTATTATTATTATAAATCGTACATGTTCCATTCACAGTTGAGAGAAATGCAGACAAAGGTAAAAATGCAATATAATAATAATAATAATATAATAATAATAATAATAATAATAATAATAATAATAATAATAATAATAATAATAACACATGTTTGATTCACAGTCGTGAGAAATGTAAACATGCATAAAGATGCACGTTTACATTTTTATTTTTTACACAGGGTTTGACAAGGTTAAGTTAAGGATCCCTAGCTTTATTGACAAGCTAATGACAGGTTAAGGATTCCTAACTTTATTGACAAGCTAAGAGTGCTTAACTACATTTACTCATTTGAAAGCATTTTTATTGTTATGAGACATACAAGTAGGGAATAGGATGAAGTTGGAGCTGTCTGTGGGCCAGCATTTTCATCTGATCAACTGACTTTATCTCGTTGACATCATAATGCTGTACGAATGTGTTCCATACTCGAGTCATCCTGGGGATAAATGATCTCGGATGAAGTGATGTTCTGGAGAAGGGTACAGCCAGAATGAAGTTGCTGCTTTCTGCCCGTCTTGTGATATAGAATCTTGCTTCACGCTGTCCTTGAAGTGGATCCAAGTGTGGTACTTTGACAACATTGGCCTTGTACATAACAGTAAGGCCACCCACATCCTTCCTGTGTTGAAGGCTCTGCTGAAATGACAGATCTATCCAGGATTGGTCCAGGTGAGAGATGAGACGTCTTGCTCTGTTCTCTACTCTGTCAAGCAGTCGCAGATGAGAGGGGGGGCAGGCAGCCAAGAAAGTGGAGCATACTCAAGGTATGAGCATACTTGTGCCTCATACAGAATCTTACAACCCCTACTGTCAAGTAGATGTGAGATACGGCAAAGTGCTGTAAGCTTCCTGGCTGTCTTGTTTGCAAGATTTACAACATCGTTCTTCATGGTCAGTTTGGAGTCAAATTTCACCCCAAGGATATCAACTTCTTTCCCAGGTGCCAACACCCTCCTATTCATCCTTACTACTGCACCGGCATTGCCATCATGGTGCCTAGAGGCCATCATCATTTGTGTTTTCTCAGGTGCAAATGTTACTTGCCATCTATTTCCCCAGGCTGATATAGCTCTTAGCTGGTGATTGATGTGGCTTAGAGCAGCTGGCATTTCTTCTCTTTGATAAGTGAATGTCATTGTACAGTTGTCTGCATATGCATGGGATTCTGGGATGAGATGAAGAAGGTCATTGAAATAGACATTCCATAACAATCGTCCCAGCATGCTTCCTTGTGGAGCATTTGCCCCAATAGGATGTCTTGCTGATTCTGTTCCATTGAGAACTACCCTTAGAGATCTACCATGAAGGTGGTCACTGAGGAGACATAGCAATTCCCAGAGCTTGCAGTTTTGCTAAGAGGCCCTGGTGCCACACCCGGTGGAAAGCACCAGCAATGTCCAGTGCTACCACACAGCTGACTTTCACGTTCTTTTCATTTTTAATGTCTAGTGTGAGTAATATGTATAACTTATACAGTGTTCTGTATCATATAAGACAATACTGATGAAGGTACTGAGAGATGATTCATCTTGTAAACAGATGATGTAAACTTATGGTATCGATAAATACAGTACAATACTGTAAGTGTATTTTCTCATCCTTATGATTTTCATAACATTTTCTTTTCTCTAGCTTACTTTATTGAAAGAATACAGTATACAGTGGACCCCCGGTTTGCGATATTAATCCGTTCCTGAGAGCTCATCGTAAACCAAAAATGTTGGAAAGAGAATCAGTTTTCCCCATAAGAAATAATGGAAATCAAATTAATCCGTGCAAGACACCCAAAAGTATGAAAAAAAAAATTTTACCACATGAAATATTAAGTTTAATGCACACAAACTGAAGAAGACATGCACAGTTTGTAGTACTCTACTAAGAATAGAACACATGACACTTACCTTTAATGAAGATCTGGTGATGATTGATGGGATGGGAGGAGCGGAGAGTGTCGAAGTTGTTAATGTTTAGAAGGGGAATCCCCTTCCAATAGGACTTGAGGTAGCAAGTCCTTTTTCAGGGTTACTTCCCTTCTTTTTTTAATGCCACTAGGACCAGCTTGAGAGTCACTGGCAGCCTCACCATGCCTAATCATACTATGTGTGCCACTATGATTCTTAAATCTTTCAAACCAACCTTTGTTGGCCTTAAATTCACTCACATCACCACTAGTTGCAGGCAATTTCTTTACCAAATCGTCATGCAACTGCCTAGCCTTTTCACAAATGATCGCTTGAGAGATGCTATCTCCTGCTATTTGTTTTTCATTTATCCACACCAATAACAGTCTCTCAACATCTTTAACACTTGCGGTCGCTGTTTTGTAATCACAGTTGCACCTTTTGCAACAAAAGCTTCCTTGATTGCCGTTTTCCTGGTCGCTATAGTAGAGATGGTTGATTGGGGTTTTGTATACAACCTGGCCAGCTCCGACACACGCACTCCACTTTCGTACTTTGCAATTATCTCTTTCTTCATTTCAATAGTCATTAGCACCCTTTTTCTCGAAGGGTTGGCACTAGAAGCTTTCTTGGGGCCCATGGTAACTTATTTTGCAGAAACAAGCACCAAAAACACTGTGATAATATGGAATGTACTGAACGTATCCTTAGATGCGAGCACACTGGCTGGCTTGTAAACACTGGCACACACGTGGATACGTCTCGGATGAATCATATACCAGGTTTTTTAATGGGAACCGAGGCAAAATTTTTGCAATATAATACATCGCATACCAGATTTATCGGATACCGATGGCATCGCGAACCGGGGGTCCACTGTATAATATATAGTATAACATACAAAATATGTGCTAATTGAATGTTTATGTTATTGGTAAGGCTTCTGGTCAACATTAGGCCATTAGTAGTTAAGTTTTTGAGGAGTCAAAAGTTATACGCTGATTTTTGACTGTGCAGGGGATAAGGGCCCCTTACCCCCACGTTGTTCAAGAGTCAACTGTACTGTGTAACTAACAGTGTAGGTATTGGTCCATCCTGTGAAATTCACCACAATGGTTCTCTTATTAACCCTTTCAGGGGCCATCCCGTAGATCTACTGCTTTACGTTCAGGGTCCAAACCGTAGATCTACGTCATGAGCTCAGCTTACTCTGATAAACTGTGAGTGGTACATTTGGGCCTAGATATGAGAGAATACATCTATGTGGTATGTGTGCACCACATAAAACAGATCCTGCAGCACACCGTGTATAATGAGAGAAAAAACTGAAATCATGATTTTTCGATTAAAACAGCGACTTTGCAGTGTTTTTCATATGTATTTTATAGTTGTATTTGCGATTTCTTGGTCTCATTTGATAGAACGGAAGACATGTTACAGAAATAGAGATGATTTTGATTGGTTTTAGCACTGGAAATGGCTTGAAACTGAGCTCAAAGTAGCAGAAATGTTAAATTTTTGACGATATTCAAGAGTAAACAAACGACCTCACACGTCTAATACACACCAGCTGATGGGTCTAATATTCATTCACAAATATGGTGATGATATTTATACAATTATTACAGTATTGCATAACAGTAAATCTTCTATTTTTTGGTGTGAATAAAAATTCATTATGTGAATAAAAAATCAAAATGGAATTTATTTGTAAAGCCTCAAAACATAACTAATGAACAGAGGAAATGTTAGTTTAGTTCCAGGAATACCTACATTGTTTATTCTGGACCCTATTTTGAAATTGGAATATTTTTAACTTTGTGTTAAATTGGCCAAATTAACAATTTCCGATCACTTTAATTTGTAGTTGAAACAGTTGACTTGGCAATTTCTTGTGCTCAATCGATAGAATAGAAGGAATACTAGTGAAATAGCTAAGAATTTGGTTGACTGGAATAATGTAATTGGCCTAAAATGGGAGTCAAAATCGGCAAAATCGCTGATTCGTAAATATCGCTGACACATCAAAATTCGCGAGAGCATAATTTCGTCAATTTTCCATCAAATTTCGTCCTTTTTGTTTTATTACCTTCACAAAAAGATTCTCTATCATTTCATAAGAAAAAATAACAAATTTTTTTTTTTGAAAATTCTTGGACACTGGGGCACCACTTCAGATTTGGGCCTTGGACCCTGAAGGGGTTAATTAAATGAGTGGTAGGATTTACTGCACTACCATAAGACATTTGAAAGACTTGAAAGCAAAATTTTGATCATTTTTTTTTTAAACTCAATGAATCTTGCCAAGGCAGTGTGTGCTGACATCACACTTCAGATTATTCTCCAGCTTCAATATCCCCACCCCTCCTTTATAGTACAGGCACTCTTTTCCACTTCCAAACCCTTCATATATTTACCTTGTTCACAATCCAATTACGTACGTACTAAAAAGCCAAAAGAAAATTTTGAAACTTTGATAATTATGCACTTCAATAAATATTTTAAGATTTTTTCAACTTTTGCAACTATTTGTACTGTATATATTGCATTTTGGCATTTTAATATTCACTGAACCAATGACAAAATTGATTGAATTCATACATATTCCTTTATTCATAGAATTCATCATGAATCGTGTGGCATTGCCATTAGCATGGAAGTCAAAGAAGCACTCTCATCGTGTCAACCAGTTGTTGCATTAGAGTCCACAATTATCACTCATGGAATGCCATACCCACAAAATTTTGAAACAGCTGTGAAGGTTGAAGATATTATCAGAAAAGAGGTTGTATATGTTAATCTTTAAAAAAAAAAAATACAATTAATATATTGTTATAAACAATTCCTATTTTTTAATCTTGATGAAATATTTTTGATTCAGTAATAAATGTGCTGAAATGCTATAAATGTATATTTTTTAGGGAGCGGTGCCTGCTACCATAGCTGTTATCAAGGGTCAGATTTATGCAGGACTCACTTGTGAGCAACTACATTTCTTAGCCTCCAAAAAGGATCAGTGTGTAAAAATATCACGTAGAGATTTTCCATATGTTTTGGCAAAGGTAAGTTTTTTTTGGTTTAAAATGAGTGAGTTGTCTATGTATTGCAAGTGGGCTATTGTATGATATTTAATTCTAATTTTTAATTAGCATTAACTCTTTCAGTGTCTGTCATGTGGAACTATATCATTGAGGTGAGGGTCCCTGACAGAGTTCTACATCATGAGCTCAGCTCACTCAGATAAGCTGTGAAGGGTAAATTTTAGCCTAGTTATGAGAGAATGGGTGTGTGTGGTGAGTGTGCACAGTATAAAAAATTCCTGCCCCATGCGATGCATGATGAAAAAAGCTAAAACTCTGACCATGTGTATTATTTAAAATAGCAACTTTGAGGTGTTCTTTCAGATTATTTTTATGGTTTTATTGACTGTTTCTTTGTATCATTTGATGGAACAAAAGACATACTAAGGAAAAAGAAATGACTTTGGTTTATTTCAAGATTGGAAGTAGCTTGAAACAGCTCAAAGTAGTGGAACTATTTGATTTTTCCGTTTTTCCTGAGAATGGGTAAGGCCTCTCCCTACATCTCAGCCTGTTTCATGGATTTTTAATAGGTTTGATTTAATTATTGGGACACCATTAAGCATGACCAGTCTTTCTGGTTCTGTTTTATTATCCGAGAAATGGAGTAAGTCTTCTATTTTTGTGTGATTATGAATTCAAAATGGAAGGCAAGTATAGTATGGGAGAGGCCTAGGGACATGATTAATGAACAGAGGAAATGTTGTTTTAGAACTAAGAATGTCTACATTGTTTATTTCGGACTCTATTTTTAACTGGTATTTTTTTTTTTACACGTACTTTTGTGTAAAATTGGCGAAATTACTGAATTCTGTGTACTTCATAGGATAGTTGAAATAGTTGAATGGATGATGTGCTCAGTTGATAGACCGGAAAACATGCTAGTGAAATAGCTAAAAATTTGGCTTTAACCAGGATTCAAAGTTGGACAGAATGACATATGTGTAAATTACACTGAGAATACTAAATTTGTGCCTGTGTAATTCTGTAAGCTTTCCATCAAATTTTGTACTTTTGGTGTCATTACCTTCAGAAAAGGAATAGCTACTATTTCAGAAGAAAAAACTAATACATTTTTAAAAAAGTAGATACTGAGAACAATATTAACCCTTTGACTGTCGGTGTCATATATATACGTCTTATGAGCCAGTGTCGGTGACGTGTTAATATGCCAAAATTTTAGCGGCTTCAAATCAAGTGGGAGAAAGCTGGTAGGCCCACGTGTGAGAGAATTGGTCTTGAGTAGTCGGTGTGCGCAGTATAAAAAAAAATCCTGCAGCATGCAGTGCATAACGAGAAAAAAAACTCAGACCGTGCTTTTGGAATAAAATGCTGACTTTGAGGTGTATTTTTGTATGGTATTTATGGTTGTATTCTCATTTTCTTGGTCTCATTTGATAGAATGGAAGACATACTACAGAAATAGAGATGATTTTGATTAGTTTTACAATGAAAAGGACCTTGAAATTGAGCTCAAAGTAGCGTAAATGTTCAATTTTTGCCAATGTTCAAGAATAAACAAATAATATCACTGTCCAATAAGTGTCCAATTAGCCATTCTAATACTCAGTCATGAATGGGTTGACATTATTTATACAATTATTACAATAATGCAGTAGTCTGCATAACAGTAAATGTTCTAGTTTTTTGTGTGAATAAAAATTGAAAATAGAAAGCAAGAGTAATATAAGAGGGGCCTTGAGATGTGACTAATGAACAGAGAAAACATTATCTTAGTGCCAGGAATGTCTGCATTGTTTATTCTGGACCCTATTTTGAAATTGGCATCTTTATTAATTTGCATGAAATTTGCCAATTTCTGACCACTTAATTGGATAGTTGAAATTGGTAAATGGGTGGTTTCTTGTACTCAGTTGATAGAACAAATGGAGTTCTAAAGAAATAGCAATGAATTTGGTTGACTGGAACAACGAAATTGGCTGAAAATAGGGCTCAAAGTAGGTGAAATCCCTGATGCATATATATTGCTGAGATCGCTAATTTTGCAAGAGCATAATTCCATAAGTTTTCCATCAAATTTCGTACTTTTGGTCTCATTACCATCGGGAAAAGATTCTCTATCATTTCATAAGTTTTTTTTTTTCGAAAATTTTGCGACGCAGAGAGACATTTCAGGACTTGGGGTCTCGAGAGTCAAGGGTTAATTTTGAGGATCTGGACAACGAAAGGTTTGTATTTTGACATTAACAATTTTGCAAAATGTCAGTTCTGTGGCTGTGCTTGATTTCACTGGGATGATTTTGGGGCATGTTTCCCTCACCTGATTAAGGTTTATTTTACCTATGAGTAAGGTAAGGAACTTTTCATCATAAACAGCATGTGATAGGGTGGATAGAAGAGCATTATATACCTGATATATATTGCTGATTATACCTGGTGTACTCAGCAGGCTTATTCCCCCTTAATTCTTATACTTTCTTTTATCTCCTTTTCCTTTATACTAAGGAATTAAGCATGCTCTCTGCCAATCCCTAGTTACCTATACCCATTTCAATGCACCAACCATTCCAAAATCTATTTCCTCATCTGCTGTTAACCTTTCTGTTTTAATTCTCTATCCCAGCTGCTTTACCCTGTCATTCTACCCATTGCCTCATTCACCTCCCCTACACTCACATCTGGCTCTCCCCTCACTCCTACAAGGTGTTATACTTACCTGTCTAATTCAACACATCACTCACTCTCTTCCTTTCATCATTCAGTGATTTCTCTAAATAGTATATCCTCCATCTTCTTAGCACCTCTACTTTTTTTTTTTAGCCCATTTGTTTCCTTGGCTTTCTCAATTTATTGAGAAAGCCATGCTTTCTTATCAGTAAAATTAATTAATGAAAGCCATGCTTTCTTCTTAATAAAATTAATTGATGAAACCTCTCTTGCTCTCTCATTAGCTCTCCTTTTCACTCCTTCACCACTATATTAAACCTCTCTGGTTTTCCTTCTGTTTTCATGCTCTCTCATTAGCTATTCATTTGCATTCTCTCACCACTCTTTAAACCTCTCTTTTACTCTTTATATACTCCTCTCTCCATATATCCATGCAAGTTATTCCTGTATTTAACCCTTACAAGGTCAGAAGCCCTGATCTGAAATTTGCTCTCAGGGTCAGAGAATTAAAAAAAAAAAATCTTCTTATGAAATGATAGAGAATCTTTTTCTGGATGTAATGAAACCAAAAGTATGAAATTTGATGGAAAATTTACGGACTTACACAATCACAAAGTTAGTGATCGCAGTGATATTTATGCATCAAATATTTCGTTCACTTAGAGCCCGATTTTTGGCCAATTCCACTCTACTAAACTCCTAGCTATTTTGCTAGTATTCCTTCTATTCTATTGATTGAGAAAAAACACACATGTACTTATTTCAATGACCCAAGAAAGTGATCAGAAATTGATAATTTTGTAAATTTCACACACAATTAAAAACTTGGCAATTTCAAAATAGGGTCCAGAATAAACAACATAGACATTCATAACACCAAAATAATAACATTTTCTTTGTTCATTAGCTATGTCCTCAAGCCTCCCATATTACATTTGTTTTCCAATTTGAATTTTTATTCTTAAAAAAAAAAAACAAATATAAGATTTACTGTTATGCAGATGACTGCATTATAATAATTGTATAAATAATATCAGTGCATTCCTAAATGCATATTAGACTGGCTAGTTGAACGCGTATTAGACGAGGACATTATTCGTGTACTCTGGAATATCAGCAGTAATTGAACATTTCTACTACTTTCAGCTCAATTTCAAGATACTTTCAGTCAAGAAACCAATCAAAATCATCTCTGTATCTGTAATATATCTTCCATTCTATGAAATGAGACCAAGAAACTGAGAATACAACCATAAACATTATACGAAAATATTCCACAAAGTTGCTGTTTTAAACTAATAACACGATCACAGTTTTTTCTCATTATGCATTGCTTGCTACAGGATTTTTTATATGGTGCACACTTACCACACAGATCCATTCTCTCATATCTAGGCTCAAATTTACCACTCACATCTTATCTGAGTAAGCTAAGCTTATGGCATAGAACTACAGAGCTGACCCTGGATTCAAAGCAGTAGAACTACAGGACAGACCCTGAAAGGGCTAATGGCTGATGCATTGAATGGCGAGGATGGTACTTATCAGGTTTTGTGTGCATGCAGGAAAATTGGTTGATATAGTAAAGAATACTTGGAATAATTGGAATCTGTGCCATAATCAAGGAATGACTTGTAAAGTAAACGGACACAAGTGCAACTAATGTGACATTTTATTGTGGCAACATTTTGCTCTCCAGGAGCTTTGTCAAGCTGTTACAAACAATACATGGACACAGAAGGTATATATAGGCTTAGAGTGAGGTGTAATGATAGTGGTGGTAGTAGTAGTAGTAGTAGTAGTAATATAAGTTGTAGTAGTAGTAGTGATACAATATGGTAGAACAATTAACTTGCACACGAGTAAAAGGATATAAAAGCTGTTACATACTTGGGTAGCATAAAAATAATAGTTTAGACAAATATTTCTATCAGAGGTTGAATTAGAGAAGGCCTGTTTTGGTGTTCATCCTCTGTAATGTGCTTGTGTAGCATTAGCAGGAGAGACTATGTGATGGCAGGGTTTACTGTTTTCAGGAGGATTCTTGCTAAGACTTCAGAGATGATAAAGCTGCCTTTGTTTTGTTTAACAGCGATTAGTGATGATTCAAGGCACTTGCATCTACGGAAATTAGTTTCTTTGATCACTAATTGGGTATCCCTGAATTTCATGAGATGAGTGGTGGAATTTTGGTGTTGCACGCAGGCATTGTTCAAGTTATCATTCCTACATGCATGAATGTGTTCATTGAGGCAGGTGTTGAGGTTTCTTGCTGTTTCACCTACATGAATCTTGTTGCAGCCTCCACAGGAGATTGTGTAAACCCCTGCATTGACTGGTTCATGGTGCTTGGA